GAGGCCCTCGACCTCAATGTGTGTATGTGTGTTTATTAATTATTAATGCTTGAAAATCAGTATTTTGCAAGATGACGACCGGAATACAATTTGCAGAACAGGTCTTGAAATTCTTTTTGACTTCACTGTAACGTGTTCGATGTGTGACAGTCACACATCCTAAGTAGACGTGCCTGAAGAAGACCAACTTATTGGTCGAAACGTAACGTAGCACCGATTTAAAAATTAAATAAATATCTTTCATCGTTCTCAAACAGTGGTTTTTTTGGAAAAATTCACACCTATAAGGTTAGAGTTAAGTCTACTTTTTGGAATAATTACTGCAGTAACTGGCAGTGTCTGGTGTTATACATATATACAGTGCTTCCCGGAAGTAACGGATAAATTCGTCAAAACAATTAAAAACGGTTTATAGAAAAATCGCTGAGACGGGTCTGAGGATTTAAATTTTTAAGCTATTTTTAAGCTAGTTATGACGTCATCGCTATTTTTTTTCAAATAGTAATCCCCCATTTTTATTGCTGAATATGAAAGAGGATTTTTTTCTGAATTTAGCACAGCCAAAATTAATATTAGTTGCATAAGAAAATTTTTGAGAAAAATTGCCTTAAAGTTTCATGATTTTTCATTCATTTGAGGTAGAAAAATAGCAGTAGCCATGCGTAACCATGGCAACCAGTTATTTTAGATATTTCTATTAAGACAATGATTAATTTTTGATATCTGAAACAGTTGGTTGCCATGGTTACGCATAGCTACTGCTATTTTGCTGTCTTAAATGAATGGAAAATCATGAAACTTTAACATAATTTTTCTCGAAAATTTTCTTATGTAACCAATATTAATATTGACTATACTAGATTCAGAAAAGAGTCTATTTGACTTGCTATTTGAAAAAAATATCGATGATGTCATTATTCGCCTCGGCCGCGAGCGGCCTTGACTGTATTCAGTGGAGTTGCAGATATTTGGAGTAATTAAGCTGAGGTCACTTGCGGCCGAGGCTCAGTAATTAACATTATACAGGGTGATTTATTAGCTCACCATCAAATTTTGACATATGATCCAATTACCAAAAAAAAAAATGCTAATGAACATAATGAGAAACATATTTCAACTAAAAGCACAAAAGGTTATTACTTTACTTTTGATGCTTTAATATGTCCTATTTCAATTATTTATGAAATTATAACACTTTAAAGTTTTCTGCAGCGAATTTATTAATAGTCAGTAAAATCAAACATTCAACAAAAACAAAGTTGTCATGTCAGTTTGCTGTAAGGTTTAATTATTATATACAAGAAGATACTCAAAATGTACGCTTATAGCACTGAAGAGTATGCTGATATAATTTTCGTGTATGGTTTTTGCAGTGGAAATGCTCGACAATCAGTACGAAAATATCAAGAAAAATTTCCACAGCGTCATTTGCCATATTATTCAGTTTTTAGCTATTCGACCGGATGTAGTTAATGTAGAAGACGAAGAAGTTGTAATTAATAGCACACAACACACATGTAAATCAAAATTTTGCATGGCGCGTATTGAACCGCGAAGTCCTTCATCCGTATCGTAAACAGAATGTTCAAGACGTCTGTGAAGTTAGCACCTCATTTTTTTAAAACTTCAAATTTCTCTTGAGCTTCCATTGCACCCCATTGAGTTCTATAGTTCTCTACCATTTTTATTAAAAGTTCCTCAAAAATAGGCAAAAACATCGATATCGACTTTTTGGGGTGCTAAGTTCACAAAACGAGATCACAAAATTTGCAATAACTATTAAACGAATGCACGTATCTAAAAACTTTATTAAAATATCTTTTAGAACTCGCGAGGTGCTATTATGTTTCGGTTTATTTTCATCTAACATTGACAATCTAAACATTAACATTTAAGAAATAGGAGTTCTGGGTAGCACCTCACGAGTTCTAACAAAAATGATTAAGGCCCGAAGCCGTAAAACTAATATTTAAGAAACTGTGCCAATTTCAAGTGTTCACATTGAGATTTCGTAAATGTCCCGGAGGGGTGAAAATTTTGAAGAGTTCCGGGAGTTCTGATAGGAGTTCTAGGTAGCACCTCACGAGTTCTAACGAAAATGATTAAGGCTCGAAGCCGTAAAACTAATATTTAAGAAAAGTGCGCGATTTGAAGTGTTCACATTGAGATTTTGTAAATGTCCCGGAGGGGTGAAAATTTTGAAAAGTTCCGGGAGTTCTGGCAGGAGTTCTGAATAGCACCTCACGAGTTCTAAAAGATATTTTAATAAAGTTTTTAGATACGTGCATTCGTTTAATAGTTATTGCAAATTTTGTGAACTTAGCACCCCAAAAAGTCGATATCGATGTTTTTGTCTATTTTTGCGGAACTTTTAATAAAAATGGTAGAGAACTATAGAACTCAATGGGGTGCAATGGGAACTCAAGAGAAATTTGAAGTTTTAAAAAAATGAGGTGCTAACTTCACAGACGCATGTTCAAGCTCCACAGCCAGGTGATAATCAGCAACGGTTAGCATTTTGTGAATGGTTATTGCAGCAACATGCCCTAAATAATGTCTTCATTTCAAATATTCTCTAGACAGATGCATCATGTTTTACACGAGATGGTATAAATAATTATCATAATGAACATATCTGGGCATTACAAAATCCACATGCGATTAGACCAACGAAATTTCGACAACGTTTCAGCATTAACGTTTGGGGAGGAATATTTAACAACAATGTACTAGGCTTTTTAAAAATTAAAACTTTAAATAATTGAAATGGGATATAATATGTTCATTAACATTTTTTTTTGTAATTGAATTAGCTATCACATGTCAAAGTTTGATGGTGAGCTAATAAATCGCCCTTATAAACATGAAATAATCTGATACATTAACAATTTATGTATGAATTGATATATCAAAGTACAACTAAATTTACAACAAAAAATAAAATAATTATTCCTATAAACAATAATTACTTATCTTTATAATAACTTATTACACATGATATAACAACATCCTCTCTTTTTCTCCTTACTTTAGTACATAATGAAAACACATTACAATTGTTCTTGACGTAAATTAATTCAAAGAAAAGTTATTCATGGAGTTGAAAATATCCCATGACTAGCACGAAACGGTACTTATAAACGGAATACAATTATGGAACTACCTGTTTGTTCAGGTAGGAGTTTTTGTTGTAAGGACGAACATAATTATACCTACCCTTAAAACTTTAAGTGCCTCCTCGCAAACTTGCATACCCCTGGATTCGAATACTTCAACGCATCCAAGATATTTTACACCAAATGTACAAGTTCCGGAACGAACGGCGGATTCATCAGCTTGCCATTGATGTGGTTTTGAACTTTCGGGCATCCGCTCTTTACGCCTTCTAAAAGAATCCCTAAACGATCTTCGAAGTCTGTCCATTTTCCTAGGAGAGCGTAAACTTCTCCTCTACAATCAAAAATGAAATGGAAATGATTAAAAAAAGAATAAATTAAAGGGTATATAAAAATTTAAGTAGATACAAAGTTAGTTGACCTCCTCTATATTTAGCTATAAATTCAAATTGTTCGGTGTTCGCGCGTGAAGGACGCTCGACCAACTTAAAATTCATCGTAGTGTGGTTTAAACAGTTCTGCGCACGCCTCTCGTTAGTATTCGAAATTGTTTGATATCGCGTTTATCTTTAGTTTATTAACGTAACAATTGCGGGTTCCTCTATCCAATTGTTTTATCATTCTATTACGTTTAATTGCCCAAGTTGAAATAACCTTATTTCTCGTTAAGAGTTCAACGGTTTTTTGTGTTGGAAAAAGGATGGAATGACTCGATGTCCTTTGTACACGGTGAATTGCTTTTTAAACGGAAATGACGTCAACTTTATAGGGACAATATCACGATGAGAGTTATTGTTTCTTTTGAAATAATTTAATAAAAAAATATTTCAATTTTACGGGTTACAATGTAAAGATTGATCGGAAAAGTGGAGATTGTGGTTTTCCGTTTTGGTGGTTGAGTGCATGGTATGTTATGGAACTTATGACTCATAATTGAATGGATGTGAAGAGAAGAAGTTTTTATGTAAAAAACGATGACTCAGGAAAAAATAGAAAGTCTTTTTCTGGGTTTTTGTGAAACTCAAAGAAATTTGAACTCAAATTTTAATCTTATCGATATAGATTAGATTATTTATCTAGATACGAGCTCGTACCGTATGAACATCACCGAATTTCGATACGCCCCTCTCCAAAGGCTGATGATTAGACGGATGATTTCCCATTGTTTCTTCTTCGCCGCCTCCTTTCCGGTGACTACGTGCTGCCTCTTTTATTCTTTCTCCGCGGAGGTAGAAAGACTGGAGCACGAGCAGATGTTGTAATCCTCAACAAGCAGATGCTCGATGGTGTTATACAGCAGACCAACGCGTTTACGACCCGCACGCAACACCAAAGAACAACTCACAAACGAACTCTTCAACTTTCTTTTCGCCTTTTATTTCCAAAAAATTAACAAAATCCAATTTATTTTTTAATACATAATTCGCTACAACGATGCATAAACCCAATATAAACGACAAGAAGTATTCGAAGAATCACGGAATAAGCACTCCTGCGGATAATTCTCGTCTTTAACTTGACGACCTTGTACTTAATATAGAAAAAAAAAACTAAAAACAAAACATAATCGGAGGCACTTAAATAGTAACAATTGAAAAGCGGACGAAAGCGAAAACTGACGCTTTAAAACGCGCAATAACGGAATTTTGACGATTTACGATTTTTTGAACGCGAATTTCCGATTAACCTCGCGACCGTTGAATACCGGACGTTAAACCACTACTAACATAGCGATGCCTTGACGGTTAGGACCCCCTCCAAGTCCTCTGGGATACTAAGCAACGTGAAAATATAGATGACCAGGTAGACAGGTAACTCCAGCGAACGTAGGCGATGATATTTTTAGGTTGGCAAGAATGTCGCGTTCATGTCCCAGCCCGTTGACACGTTTTAGCCGTGAGAGAATGATTACAATTTTTTTCATATTTTATTCAAACAAGACAACAAAATATGAATTTATCATTAATTCATTCAATATCTTGAATAATATCTATAATAAAAATAACTCTATTGTACAAAAAAAATTAAAATAAAATAAAATGATAAAAATTAAATAATAATAATTTGAAAAAATCTTCACGCTTTTTGGTTTCCTGACAATAACCAGTTCCGAAGAAGGAGAAGACTATAGGTATTTTTCTTTATTTATATTTTTTTGGTTAGCAACTACTGGTCTGAACTTCTAGTTCTTGACCATCGACTTCGGCTGCATTCCTTCAGTCGTATGGGACAGATCGATAGGTGCTTCTTTCTGCCTACTCATATACACAAGAATGTCGTTATTAAATATCGATTTTTTTTCAGCTTTTATCGTATACGAAGTATTTACTCTGAGTATGTTGTATAATTGTGCGACAACTACTTTCTAAATTAATTTTCAAACAAGTTTTGAATTTTTATATCTCAAAAACTTTCTCAATTATCTCGTTATTATTTTGGTACTTTCATGACTTTTTTCAGATTGATGAAGCGTATAACTCCACCGACGTGATTACGTTATTATTTTTGCAAAGAGAATGTAAGGGTCTAAGAATTTCAGAAAAAATGGGAACAAATCTGTGATATAAATTGATCATTCCAAGAAATTTATGGAGTTCTTTAAGATTTTTAAAGTTATTTATTGCTTCAATTTTTGATTTAGTTGGTTTAAAATCTATTGAATTTACTCCAAAAACACATTAAGGGCCGGTTGTACAATATACCGATAAAGTTCCCGATAGCGTTATCTGGCCGATAAGTTAGTTTGTACTGTATTACAATGTACGGATAGTTTTGCTGGCGACATTATCGGCAGGATAGCTTATTGCGTACTCATCGGTGCCGATAAGACAGTTATCCCCCAGATATATATGGTTTCCAAGGATTTTAAATAAAAACTTTCCATGGTTATAGCATAGGTTAACCTATAACATCCTATACGTACGTTGTGTCAGTTCATATTTCAAAGAAAGACATTAGCGTTACCAACCTATGGCACAAATTACTAGAAATAGGAAAAAAATACTACCAACCGATTCTTATTTCGCCGATAGCAACCCTACCGACACAAACAGTTTGTACAACAGCGAATATCTTTATCCTCCCGATAAGTTTAACGGCCGGATAGTTATCAGGTAGATTTATCGGTATATTGTACTACCGGCCCTTAGACGATTTAATGTTGATTCTAAAATTATGTAATCTTTCAAAAAGTTATCGAAGGTGAATTAATTAAGTGTTCACTTTTCTCTTTACTGGCAATTAGAATATCATCCAAGTAGACAAAAATGAAGTTTAAACCGGAAGTTACTTCGTTAATAAACCATTGAAATATTTGAGCTGCATTTTTTAACCGAAATGGCATTCTGTGATAGCGGTTTTGTAGATATCTTCTTCTGCTACTTAACTGATGGTGGTCGCCACAAGGACACCAGTCTTGACAATCTTTTTAGGTACCATGTGTAAAGGTGAAGCAACAAAAGAAGAAGATGGTCTACAAATACTGAGTGCTACCATGTCATCGAATTCTCTTTTGGCGAGTCAAGTCGTTTCGGCCGACAGAATGGAAGATGTGAATCGATTATTATATAATATTTAACAGATTTATTTTAGAAAGGATTTTAGAAGATTCGTAAATTCAAACTAATGCGTGATGCCCCAGAAGATATTAAAACTTAGCAATATTTTACACTTTAGCTTCCCACTTCCCTGGAGCACGACCATCTTGGTTTTATGAGCTGCTAAGCTTTCTCCGCTCTTTACAATGAATAAAAATCACGTCTTAATTTTTTAATTACATTTATAATTAAATTAAGCTTGTTTAACGTTTAATTTAAAAAGAAATTTAAAATGAAACAAATTATAATAGATGTCGTTGGGAAAAGGAGGAAGTAAAATTGGTTAACATGAGTACCGTATTAGATCGAGGTCGAATTCCTGTATACTCAATCTACATAAATGTGGTCTATCTATGTGTATGTATTATGTATTCGTTATCCGCATGGGTCCCCTTTAGCGCGATGACGGTTGGACTACCGGGGGTATCATACCGTGGGATTCAACAGGCGCTGGTGCCCCTTCAGTCAGTTCGTTTTTTCCCAACGGACCGGCATGGGAACAGGGAGAAAACAATTACAGGACTGTGCCTGTCGTTTTCCAAAAAACTACTTTTCTCAGGCTCAACAATTCGACCACTTTACAATTTTACATTTATCAATCGATCGATACGTTCATTCCGTTTTCTTTTTGATTCGTGTAATTAGATAAAAATGAAATTAAAATGTCACTTTCACACAATTTAGACCAATTATTGTTTTAAATTATCACCTATAATAATGAGCTATCGTTTCGAATCTTTTGAAAATTCTTTGAAGAAAAAATTAGTTCTTTTCTTATTCGTACCAGACTTTGACGTCATTACAACCAGAAATTTGCTGTTAAAAAAGCTGTTAAAACGTTTTTTCAGAAAGCATTGTATTTGGATTTGAGAAGCGTCGCAAAGCAGAAAAAATATGTACAAGACCAAGTACTTCAAATAGTAGAAAACATTAAAGTTAATAAATCAAACAAATCTGCGATCTGGAAGACATTAAGAATACATGGAAAACTTATTTTTAAATACCATAACGTGAGAGCCACAAATTATGTACGAAAGAAATGAGGAAGACGTAGGTGGAAATAAAACTAAAGAGTTACAAACAGTTACAGTCGTAAGCTACGAACTTCCTTCTGGAACTTCAAGATTACATAGAGTAAGTAACCTTAACATTGAGTAACCTCGTCAATCGGCAAATAGAAGTGACGAATCTCCACTTTTGGACCTTCATAGTCAAGGTTTTTCGAAGAACTTTTTTGAAAAGAAATTTTTGATCCACTCAAAGCAATGTTGTGGTTCTGTAGTAGTTTTCTTCAAGTGGATTCATAGTTGGTAAGTCACTCAGTACATTAGACTAAGATTTGAGGTTGGGCATCAAACGAAAATCAAATCTGATGATCTTAATTTTAATGCTTTGATGTTTGAGTCTTTTGGCAGATTAATTATTTCAATAGAAGACTCTTGGTCATAATATTGCTAAACCCCGTACAATGTATATGAAGTAAAGGAGTATCGTCTAAGAAATCCAACACACAAATTCTTTACCGATTTGAATTTTTCATACATCCGTGCTAAAAACCGTTGAGTAAAATAAAAGGAGTGAAAGTTTTTTAAGTAACTTACTTAACTTTACTTCAAATAGAAGAAAACATTAAAGTTAATAAATCAAACAAATGTGAGATCTGGAAGACATTAAGAATACATGGAAAACTAATTTTTAAATACCATAATCTCACGTTATGACGCGAAAGACAAATTATGTACGAAAGAAATGAGGAAGACGTAGGTGGAAATGAAACTAAAGAGTTACAAACAGTTACAGATGTAAGCTACGAACTTCCTTCTGGAACTTCAAGATTACATAGAGTAAGTAACCTTAACATTGAGTAACCTCGTCAATCGGCAAATAGAAGTGACGAATCTCCACTTTTGGACCTTCATGGTCAAGGTTTTTCGAAGAACTTTTTTGAAAAGAAATTTTTGATCCATTCAAAGCAATGCTGTGATTCTGTAGTAGTTTTCTTCAACTGGATTCATAGTTGGTAAGTCACTCAGTACATTAGACTAAGATTTGAGGTTGGGCATCAAACGAAAATCAAATCTGATGATCTTAATTTTAATGCTTTGGTGTTTGAGTCTTTTGGCAGATTAATTTTTTCAATAGAAGACTCTTGATCATGATATTGCTAGACCCTGTACAATGTATACAGGGTGTTCCGGTGACTCGGGGAATAAAATTAACCTCATATACTAGAGCCCAACCCAACCCAACCAATTTTGACATTGATCGGGCGGCGGCAACCATGATATACAGGCTGTCCCTAAAATTTGTTTGCTCAGAACTTTTTTGTTCGCTCGTAACCCTACATTTATTTTTGTACTTTTTAATAGAAAATTTATTTTAGAAACTTTTATCACTCTTTGAAAATTTTGATAACATTGACCGTTTTCGAGTTATACGCGAAAATGTTAAGCTTTGATTTCAATCGTAACAAACAAAAAAAGGAAACATATTCCGTAAGATCTGAGTTGGCGATGACAATTGAAAAACGAACTGAGCTAATAACCATTATTTGCATAAATTTCTAAGTGCAGATTTAGTTAAATCCAGTGTTAATTTATTTTAGTTGAATAAAAGAATGTAATTTCCAAAACGATAAATTTAATTTTCACGGTAACAACAAACAAGAACATAACAAAAATTCTAACAAAAATATTAACAAGAACAATAAAATTATAAACAAATAGTAATAAATAAAAAAGAAGAAAAAAATACTAAAGCAGATGTTCAAAAACACTGCCTGATATCGCCGTCTTAAATTAAAGCGCACTCTGCGGAGAACATTGATCTCAGTTCGAAGTTGATCAAATGAATCAACAATTTGCAACCTCAGTTGATCAACTGAAGTTATTTCAACGCAGTAAACTAGTGGTTTAACGCGTTCCCATAAATAAAAATCTACAGGTGTAAGATCCGGCGATCGGGGGGCCAACTTATGGGTGCACCTACTCCTCGTCCAATCCACCGTCCCGGAAAACGTTCCCTCAGAAATTCTTGGACAGCCTGTGTGCTATGCGCAGGAGCACCATCATGCATATACCACATTGCTTGCCTTGTGTTTAAAGGAACGTCATCTAAAAAATCATCTAATTCCTCTAAATGTCGCCTGTATGTATGTCCATCCAGCCTTGATGGCAAGAAAACGGGTCCAATAATTACATCGCCCACAATGCCAGCCCAAACGTTAAGAGAAAATCTCCATTGTGATTTCCAAGTTTTCTTAAATCTTGGATTTTCGTCCGCCCAACTATGTAAATTTCTCAAATTGAAGATTCCATCTTTAGAAAAAGTGGATTCATCTGTAAAAAGCACTTTTTCTTAAAACTGATCATCAATTTGGATTTTGTGCTGCATTATTTGGCAATATTGCAGTCGCAGTGGGTAATCAGCCAGTCGAACTTCCTGAACTTTGTAACAATGAAATGGATAAAGCTGTTGCTCGTGAAGAACACTCCAGACAGTTGTTTTTGAAGTTAAAAAGTGCCTCGCCATATCCAAAGTACTAGCTGTAGTATTTTCTTCTACGTAGTCTAGAATATCTTCTTCTAGTTCGGGTGTTCGGACTGATCTTACGTTACTGTTGTTAGTAAATTTCGGCTTAAACGTCCCATTTTCCCTTAAACGGGTTTCAATCCTTAAAAATGTTTTTCGATTGGGCGCTCTGCGATTCGGAAATTTCTCCCGATAACGCTTAGCGGCTGCTACGGCGTTTCCATGACATTCCCCTAATGTCAAAATCATGTCAGTTTGTTCACTAAATGTGTAACTCTCCATTTTGAACACTTAAAATTAATAAAAACTTAACTAACAAAAAACTATCATTTGTGTTTAAACGACATAAGCAAGTTGACAGCTCAATTTGTTTTTTTAATTGCCATGGCCAACCTTGACTTTTTCGAAGATTTTTGTTTTTTAGTGTTACCATTGAAATCGAAGCTTAATATTTTCGCGTATAACTCGAAAACGGTCAATGTTATCAAAATTTTCAAAGAGTGATAATAGTTTCTAAAATAAATTTTCTATTAAAAAGTACAAAAATAAATGTAGGGTTACGAGCGAACAAAAAAGTTCTGAGCAAACAAATTTTAGGGACAGCTTGTATAGCATGGTTGCCGCCGCCCGATCAAAGTCAAAATTGTGCAATGATTTTGCTTGATATAAATGGTATTGAAAATATTTAGAAAAATGTGTTAAAATTTCTGAACTGTGATGGCCCATATCTTAGCCATTTGAAGACTTTTATTATAATTTTTTTTCACGAATCGTCATCATTTTTGCTCTAGTATATGAGGTTAATTTTATGCCCCGAGTCACCGGAACATCCTGTATAAAGTAAAGGAGTATCGTCTAAGAAATCCAACGTACAAATTCTTTACCGATTTGAATTTTGCATACACATCGAGCAATGCAATTCTATAAAAAAAATCCGTGCTAAAAACCGTTGAGTAAAGTAAAAGGAGTGAAAGTTTTTTAAAATGTTATAGTTACGTTAGTTAAGTCGTTTTTTTAATCAAATATATCAAGATAACTTTTATGATACGATTAATGTGTGGGTATATAATTAAATACAATAGAACAATTGTTAATTATAGACAGTAATTTACACACGTTTTCTTTTACATGCTTAATAAATTGTTGAATTGTTAATACTTTTATACTAAGAGCAAATAGTTGATAAGCAACCGAATTTTAAGTTGGTGCAATACAACAAAATATTGCGGTTGTAGTAAAAACGTAAATCATGACGATTGTTTGCAATTGGATTATAGTAATAAAGATTTACTTTTTCTGCTTCAAACTCTTTGTAGCTGCTTGTATACAATAAATTTTGTGCGGTAAGCAATAAAAATAACATTGTTTATTTAATTCTTGATGTTCCAATTCTACTCATATATCGTTTTATATAACAGACTTATTTCAATTAATTTTAATGATTTTTTTACCACATGTAAAATTTACAATTTATGCTTCGTTTAGAAACCAAGAGTCTCCTATTACGAAAATACTGTGCAATGAAGTAACAAGATGCCGCAACACACGCAGGCGTGACGTATGGCGCCCCACGTGGGTTTCGACGAGAAAGAGAGCTCTCCAATAACGGACAGAGACGGCCGTAGATCAATAACCGGGATTATCTGAACCATAAAAAATTATCTTACGTACCTACTGTAACACTTCCCAATATCCAACAAAAAAAATCGAATCTCACAGATAATCAAAAATTTTTAAAGATCCACAAAAACTTTTTAAACAAAAACGAATCGTATTAATAATCGCGGAGAAACAATTGACCGCTTAAACCGGGCGATCGTCGCCGTTCGACTGTTTCATATTTCACTCTCGCGGCCTTGTGCGATTTCGCAAAACGGTGCGGCGTTTTCTAACTAATTCTTCGCACCTGTAATCTCGTGCCGAGCTATAGATAAATCTGTTTGTTCTGTTCGAGACGAAAACGACGACTCACCTTCGAGTTTGCGTTTCTAGAGCGGGGCCGCAGCGGCAGATCGAAACGTCGACGATGACGGCGGAAGTCGCAGGATTTCACCCATATTTTCACCGTCGAGAGAAATCCTGAGTGGGTTTCACCAGGTTCTTTCGAAAGGCGCGAAGAGGATTCGCTTCAAGAAATGTTTTCGGTCAGGTGCACCCGCCCCGTTGATAAAACACGATTTACCATTGCGCAATCTCAACGTTTCCTGCGATATCCTATCGACCTACCCCACATTTTGAGATGGTCAAAAAAATTTGTTTTAATTTTTTTGTCAGTAACAAAATAACAATTTAACTGTTACGAAATACATAATGACTTTAAAGTAATTTGTGATCCACACAGAAAAGCAATTTAATACAATGACATAAAATTAAGCTTATCACCTTAATTCCTATTCACTACATTTTTGGTACGGCTGATATTTTTTCATGAGGTACATCTATTTCGATTAGAAATCGACCTCCTCCAGCTTTTCATACCGAAAATGCGAGCGTCCCCAATCACGTTGTCTCCCCATCTTGCTCTTAGGGCCGGTTTATCAATATTTAGTTAAGTCGATTTATCTGTCGGTTAAAATTGTATCTAATAGATAACGTCGACGAATCGTTTATCCACCCGTAGTTTAGGGTTATCTTTTAAATAAATATGACATTTGGATACCCACCAGATTGAAGTACTGGTTAAGGGTTTACCTATTAGATATTGTCAAAAAGATATACATACATAATTCAAAGGTCAATGTCAAAAATAAATTAAGCTATTGTGGTGATGGATAAGCAGGAGAAAGTGAAAAGATCCTCCAATTTTACTAAAGCAGAAAAAAACTTGCTGATTGATTTGGCAAACAAATATAAAAATATAATAGAAAATAAGAGAACCGACGCTGTAACATGGAAACAAAAAGATGAATGTTGGGGTTAAATTACTGCAAAATTTAATTGTTGTAGTATTGGAATAGTAAATAAAAACGTTGAAATAAAACAAATATAAAATAATCTCAATTCATGGCTTTAGCCAAGAACTACAAAACAACTGCGAATGAAATATGATGGGATAAAAAAGGAAATAAAAATTATTCTGCGCACAAAAATTACTTAAAAGGCACGGGTGGTGGAAAGCCAATGAAAGAACCAGTTCCATCCACCGAAAGTGAAAAAGAACTTACAGACAAATGTAACAAAGGACGTCACAGAAGAAGACGTTATGTGCCACTGGAATGAATTTGAAGTTGCAATGCTACAAACCGAAAAACATCCGGCATTACAACTTCAAAGTAATTTCCAGGATAACACTTCTTCTTCTTTGGAAACACAAAATATTCCTCCAAACACTATATCAGAAGTAGAGATTACCCCAATCATAGAAGTAATTCCTTCGGAAGTTATTACGCAAAAACAATGTCAAAATGAAAATGAGTTGAGAAGTAAGTCTGATTATGCAGAGTTATGCACTACGGTGTTACTTGATGCTTATTATACTTACTTTTATAGAATGGTCGAGCCGTAGGAGACCTGTTATTAAAAAAAGTTGTAACAAATCTATATCAACGCAATTTGAAAAGTTGGTAGAACGAAAGGAAAGCTTATTAACAGCACTCACAGAACAGTTCAGTAAGCAAAATATTTGGGCAGAAGAAGAGCATAAAATAAAGCTGGAAATACTTAACATACAAAAAGAACAAGAAGCCGTAAAATTACGTACACTTCAAATGGAATTGGAAATAGTAAAATTGAAATTTCCTCAATATCAATCTGGGGATTAGATCGCCATTGGATTTTTTTTATAATTTGTTATATTGTTATAACATATAAGTGATATTTGAGTATAGTATTTTTTATTTAAATTCAACTATTTATAGACAACGTATTTGTTAATAAACAACAATCCACATTTATACGAATTCTTTAAATTATACGAATATACGAATTGAAACAATATCTAAATAAAATTGATTATTATGTTATAAATTTTAATTTAAGAGGTTAGGAAAATAATTCGCCAAAAGTTGATTTTTAGCATTTCCTAGTAATTCACCATCTTCTATATCAAGGTTATCTACCTCGACAGTATTTACATTTATTCCAGGATCATATGGAGGTATTTCTTCCTTTGCATTTATTGCTATGTTATGTAGCACTGCTGTAGCAACAATTACTGTCATTGCAGTTTCTAGTTTCAATCGGAGGTTGAGTGCAAGTACAGGAAATCTTCTCTTCCACACGCCATATTGCCGTTCCACTGGATTTCTAGTTCTTATTAAAGATTCATTATATAGTTCTTCTACTCTATTTCGGGTATTCAGCAAAGGTGTTACCAAATATTTGGTATTACGATATCCGCTGTCACCCACTAGCAAAGCATTACCATATTCATTATTTTCAAACTTTTGCTTTAATAATGAATTATCAAAAATGTGTTAATCATGGGCCGATCCTGGCCAACAAGCAACATTCAATGAAAAAAAGCCCTTTCGATTCCGGAATGTCTCTGCACGTGGTCCACCTATAATTATTATCCACTCATTAATATTAATTCATATGTTTCGATTAAAAGAGATTGCTTACCTGGCGAAATAATGCTAATATGATTACAATCGATACTGCCTATCACCCGTGGAAATCTAGCTTTTCCATAAAATTGTTCTTGTGATTTCTCTATTTGGTCACCAGTAGGCATACGTAGTTGGACAATATCCTCATCTTCATCGCTTTCTAATAAATACTCATGTAAGAATTACATGGGTATTTATTGGAGGAATGACAACTCATAAATCAACATCATAAACTAAAGTCAATTATTCAAATTTGACCAATCATGTTTTATTTCCGTTTCTAATGTTAACACTCAGGGGTACCAACTGTTTTCTATCTTGTTGTTTGCTGCCTGTCGGGTAGAAAGTTGCTGGATAAACGCGTCACTGAGGTTATCTGTTAGATAAGTTTATCCATGAGTTGCGTATCTGACAGATTTAACTCGACATTGATAAACCGGCCCTTAGTCTAATTGCGCAAAATCATTGATCGCTAAGTCTCCAATTGTCTGATCACTCAATGTTCACAGTAACTATAGTTTTGAATAATGAAAGTCATAAAAAATTGTCATGTAATGACATACTAACAAACATTTTAATATTCTTTGAAAAAACGTGGAAAGTTTAAACCACTTACAAAAATGCTTTGCAATTGTGGTAACATAAAATTAACCCCTTGTCAATGTTCTCCTCCACCAAAACCGTAAAGATTTTGATTAAAAATTGGATATAAAATGATTCAATATAAGCTTTTAATATTTTTAGCGCTCCTCCTCGAATACAAGACACCTATAAATTCGATTATGGCATGGAAAGAGATCTTCTAGAACATGAATTACTATATAAAAATCGAATAATTTATTCACTTCCAGTAAAAGTGGATAATTGGAATGAAGATTTGTTTCTAAAAGAAGAAAAAACCAAGTTGACAAATATGAAACGGATGCGTTGCGAACTTCTTGTCGAAAAAACCAGGGCGATGTTGAAAAACCTGTTGAGACCGATTTTCTTAGCCAGCGATCGTCCATTCATCGAATACACTAGAGTTTATCAGATAGTCGCTTCGGCTATGCCAAGCACCTTAACCCCGTGTGGTAAATACGGGTTGTACTTAGCCGGTTTAATTAGTGAGAACGATTTGGATCACGGCACCCACTTTTCACACGGCTGCGGACTAACGGCGTCTCCGGATTCTCAACCGTCCGTGAGGAACAGCTTTATATTTCGCGGTTGCGCTAGGGAAAGACACGAAGACGAGGCCGTTTATTACGGAGAAGACGTTTACATACAGATTTACGAATCCGGAGTTTGCACACCGCTTTACATCCGGTGCGAATCGTCTAGTTACGATAATTTTGGTACTAGATTGGTGTTGCGTTTATCGCAAAGTCCGGATTTTTATTGTAGGTTTAAAGTGTATCCTTGGATGCCCGACGTTCGGTACGAATCTGAAGGATCGGCGTTTGCGCCCAATTCAGAAGTAATTATTAAGCATACAGCAACCGGAAGGAATTTAGCGGTGGAATATAATCACTGGGTACCGACATTTTTTGGACCCGAATGTGTTGTTACGTGTCATACCTACCAAGATTCGCACCGAATGGAAACTGCCGAAAATTTATGGAAGATTTGTCAGTTTCAAAAGACTGATAAGACTTTGTTTGTTAGAGCTGCTAAAGGGGAAGATATTCCTGATCATTTGATTGGTTAAACTTTCTGTATTTATTTTTTTAAATAAAATCGGTTGTATATTATTATGTAGAAAACTTAACCCGTAGGTACTATCGTTGTTTTAATACACGTAAATACTATAGTGGGGTGTTTAAACACCTTACCTTACCTTCTTTAATATAAAAATACTGCATAATAAACTAAAAATATTGTTTTATGATGTATTGCATATGAGTTTAGGAACATGTACCCTAGTTTTTGTAGCAAAAAAAATAAGGTCAACATAAAAAACAAAAAAAAAGAACGAGCATGTTTGAACTGGGGAANTCTGTTAGACAAGTTTATCCATGAGTTGCGTATCTGACAGATTTAACTCGACATTGATAAACCGGCCCTTAGTCTAATTGCGCAAAATCATTGATCGCTAAGTCTCCAATTATCTGATCACTCAATTTTCACAGTAACTATAGTTTTGAATAATGAAAGTCATAAAAAATTGTCATGTAATGACATACTAACAAACATTTTAATATTCTTTGAAAAAACGTGGAAAGTTTAAACCACTTACAAAAATGCTTTGCAATTGTGGTAACATAAAATTAACCCCTTGTCAATGTTCTCCTCCACCAAAACCGTAAAGATTTTGACTAAAAATTGGATATAAAATGATTCAATACAAACTTTTAATATTTTTAGCGCTCCTCCTCGAATACAAGACACCTATAAATTCGATTATGGCATGGAAAGAGATCTTCTAGAACATGAATTACTATATAAAAATCGAATAATTTATTCACTTCCAGTAAAAGTGGATAATTGGAATGAAGATTTGTTTCTAAAAGAAGAAAAAACCAAGTTGACAAATATGAAACGGATGCGTTGCGAACTTCTTGTCGAAAAAACCAGGGCGATGTTGAAAAACCTGTTGAGACCGATTTTCTTAGCCAGCGATCGTCCATTCATCGAATACACTAGAGTTTATCAGATAGTCGCTTCGGCTATGCCAAGCACCTTAACCCCGTGTGGTAAATACGGGTTGTACTTAGCCGGTTTAATTAGTGAGAACGATTTGGATCACGGCACCCACTTTTCACACGGCTGCGGACTAACGGCGTCTCCGGATTCTCAACCGTCCGTGAGGAACAGCTTTATATTTCGCGGTTGCGCTAGGGAAAGACACGAAGACGAGGCCGTTTATTACGGAGAAGACGTTTACATACAGATTTACGAATCCGGAGTTTGCACACCGCTTTACATCCGGTGCGAATCGTCTAGTTACGATAATTTTGGTACTAGATTGGTGTTGCGTTTATCGCAAAGTCCGGATTTTTATTGTAGGTTTAAAGTGTATCCTTGGATGCCCGACGTTCGGTACGAATCTGAAGGATCGGCGTTTGCGCCCAATTCAGAAGTAATTATTAAGCATACAGCAACCGGAAGGAATTTAGCGGTGGAATATAATCACTGGGTACCGACATTTTTTGGACCCGAATGTGTTGTTACGTGTCATACCTACCAAGATTCGCACCGAATGGAAACTGCCGAAAATTTATGGAAGATTTGTCAGTTTCAAAAGACTGATAAGACTTTGTTTGTTAGAGCTGCTAAAGGGGAAGATATTCCTGATCATTTGATTGGTTAAACTTTCTGTATTTATTTTTTTAAATAAAATCGGTTGTATATTATTATGTAGAAAACTTAACCCGTAGGTACTATCGTTGTTTTAATACACGTAAATACTATAGTGGGGTGTTTAAACACCTTACCTTACCTTCTTTAATATAAAAATACTGCATAATAAACTAAAAATATTGTTTTATGATGTATTGCATATGAGTTTAGGAACATGTACCCTAGTTTTTGTAGCAAAAAAAATAAGGTCAACATAAAAAACAAAAAAAAAGAACGAGCATGTTTGAACTGGGGAAAAAGCAACGAAAAATCGAATATTAGTAGTAGAATATTACTACCTCTTCTCGTTACAATTATTACAGTGCACAAAACTATTAGAATGGTTTTTACAAACATTCTTCTTGCATATTTGACAGGTTGTTTTGATTTTGCGGTCTTGTTTCCTAGAACACATATAGCAACGGCCATAAGAACTGGAACATACACGGTTTACAGGTCCGGGTTGATTTGGAAGTTCGAGTTGGCTCTTGTCAGTTCTTTTGCTTCAAGTCTACGTTTTACATAATCATGAATCAACGATTTGGCAAGATCAATTGCGAATTTACGTCGTGATGTTTTGATATTTGCTTGGGAAGCCGATAGGTAAAGTATAAAACTGTTCGATCTTGCAATGTCAATAATAGCACCAAATACAGTTATAGGCCACCTTTTAGTTCTTCTTTGACAAGAATAAGTCGCGCAGTGTTGATCTAGAGCGTCCACTCCACCCTTTGTAGAATTATAAAAAGTAATGATCCCAGGCTTCCCGTTTTCTTCTACATTTGACGCATGGTGCATAGTTGAAACCAGTATAACCGATCTATTCTTCTTAGGTACATATGATACTATTGTTTCATTACGTGTAAATCCAAAAATAGATGATACCTGTTCACGATGTCTGCTTGGGAGGAATTGCGGAGGAACCTCCCGCTTGTTCTTTCGTAAGGTACCGACATACGTTAGAGCAATATCTCTCAGTTCCTTCATTAATTCAATGGAACTAAACCAGTTGTCTCCCGTGACATTTCGGTTGGTGTTCCTAATAGGTTCTACTAACTTTAGAGTACTTTGAGTGGGGACTGACAATTTCTTTGGATTTGGTTCTTTGGTTTTTCCGCAATATATATAGAATTTAGCAAATAATGCGTTTTTGCATCACATAAGCACATTATTTTCAATCCATATTTTCGTGGTTTACTTTTAATGAACTGTCGGAAGGAGCATTTTCCTCTGAAACCAACTAACATTTCATCTACCACCGCATACTCACTACATGAGTAATTTTTTTTACATTGGGCGTTAAATATATCATATATTTTGGAAATTGCAGCTAGTTTGTCCCCACTTTCAATTCTTTCCTGTCGGGAAGTCCAGTCATCAAACCACAAAGCGATTAACAGAAATAGAAATCTCTCCTTGGGCATAGTCCCACGAAATATATCTCTCCCTAAAGTTCACGTCTTCATGGTTGGATTTGCATACTCCTGCTAGGAGCATCAAACCCAGAAATGCTTTCAATTCTATCTCGTCTATATGTCCCACAAATGTAGCTGTGGGACCGTAGCTTACACTTAAATCTGTAATTTTAGAGTTGGTGTGTTCCAAAATTTCAGATATGATTTCATCTGTTATCAAAAGTGACCAACATTCTAAAGGGCTTTTGGGGGGTTTCACAGGTGCGTTATTTTTTAGGCCTGGAAGATATATTATGTTCTCCTGTCGAGTTCTGGAAGAAACCGGTGGAACTTTTGACCACTTGCATCTATTTTTGCCATAAAAAAAAATTGCTTTCCCTGGGAAATCGTAAACTGCTCTACTCTTCTCGTTTACTTCATCTTCTGCTTCATCCGTGTCGGTATTATGACTGCTATGTTCGCTTGATGCATCACTAAGGTCGCTGTCTTGTTCATTTTCAAGTTCATCTTCAACATTCCTATCATCATAAAAGTTCTCGACAAGTTTTTCAACTTTCAAAAAACCGATTCATTATTTTGTACACTAAGATTTCAACTCACGAACTTTTCAAAGGACACAACTCACAACGAAACTGCGATGACAAAGATTGGCGAATAAATGAAATGGAACCTCTTGGTCGCTTTATATAGAATACAAAACACCGGGGAATCACATATGTACGAATTGTGTTGTCAAATAATATATATAATATTATATATATTCCCCGACGCATAAAACTCACGTATCGCAATATTGTACCGGTCTTATGGTCTCGGCGACGAAGTACGACCGCGCTAATTATAAACAGTCGAAAGAAATGTTCAAGTTGGAAAGAAATATATGAGTTAATTGTAAAAAATTACAAATAATGTAAATAAAAATAATCTACGTTTCGTCGTTAATAAGTAAAGAGTGTGACTAACTCATATAGATGTAATTCTAAATGATATCATTCTCCTTTTAAAAAAAGTCTAACGCAACTGCTATAGTGGGGTATCAGACCACCCCAAGCGTTGCTTTTCCCAAAAATGGTTAAAAATAAAAAATGTCTGATAGTGCTATATTAAACATATCAAAGTTGTAGAAGAATACCTAAAACCAAATAATTGTAAAAAAATTGGTTTAAAAGATATGAAGCAAAAACTGGTGTCTGGGGTATCGAAACACCCCAGTATAGTAGTTGAGGGTTAATCATTACATAAACTCCTAAACATCCAATGATTCCTCATTTTCCCATAGGAACATTAAATGCCTGAAGAAACTGAACTAATGGAACAAAGAGGCAAACATCTCATTTAATTTGAAAACAATGGGAATAAGACGTTTAAGAGAGAGATGTCGAAAAATAATTGAGCAGGTCAAAACCCACCCCAATAAAAAAAAGAAAAGTTTGGTGATATGGATTACTTTGTTATTTCTTCTGGATGATGCAAATGGGTTAAAAGTTTATAATCAACTGAAGAGAACGAATTAAGAGCTAAGACCATAACTTGGTTTGTTAAAAATTACAAAAAAAAGCACACTTATAATGTATATATTAATATTCTTATTATACTTTTGTAATATTTATATAATACTTTTACGTTTCATTTATACAATTATAAAAAATTGGCAAACAAGGGTTTGGAATAAAATCTCCTTACAGACTAAAAGTATTCACAAAATTCAACTAGCATTTATCCTTATTGTATGTATTATCTACTCCAAATATCCTCCATAGCCAGTGTAGTAGTTAAGTTGTCAGATAGCACTTTAAGGGTTCTCATTGTTTCAAGATAAAACGTCAGTTCTGTTGTAACAAGCCCATGCTGTGGACCCCCATTGTTCCGAATGTTCATTTTAATAAGCTGTTCGCGTAACCTCGATTTAAAATTATTGTGTACAACCTCATATAAATCAGTCACCTAGAAAAAAAATATAAAAAAAAATATTTCGATATCATTAAAACTTACCTGTTCTTCAGGCAAAACAGGTCCAACAGCTTCGTATAATTTGGTAAGGTGCCTTGAGACGTTTCTAAAAGCCTTGGAAGGCACAGGTGGTTTAGCATCCCAATCATTTAATTGATCCCCCAATAAAATATTTAGAATTGATAAAATTTTATTCTCCAATTGCTGGATATGATTAGTAATATCATTTTCCACGGAAACCAAACTGTTAATTGCATCACTAGACAACGCTGTGAAATGGTTTCTAATATGAGGAATCAACCATAAAACTAATTGCAACGCTCTCGACGTCAAAGCTAAATTTGTGCTGGTAATCGTTTTTAAACCGGCCGTTTTTAATGCCCCTGCTCCCAAAACCAATTGGCATGAACGCGAATTAAAAGTCCTCAATAGTTCCGCTAAATTTCTGCCGATGACTCCCGATAAAATCGGGATATCGTACGCGCAAACACAATACTCACTGACAAGTTTTATTAACATCAAAACCGTCCCGACCGTAACGTAATTTTGATTACCAATACGAAGAGATGTTAAAACCGCTTGCGAAGTAATTTTTTTGTTATTATCTTCCACAGGCGAACTGGGCACGGATTTTAAAGTATCCCCCGACGCCAATTTATCCACCAAAACTTGAAACTCAACCGGAACATCGGCAACCTTCCATCTTTCCGCATCCAACAACAGCGTTAATTTATTTTTACGCAAACTGTGAAATTTATGAACGTAATTTCCAGCTTGTATTTTAAAGGCTGCTTTTAAAGCGGCGCTTTGCCGCCCGCAAACGCTTTCGCATACCTCCGTAAAATTATCGACTATATCCGAAAGTTCCATTATTTGAACTGCCGTTACGTTCTGTTTATCCGACTGTGTACTTACTAAAGACGCCAACCTTTCGTGACAATAATCACATATAGAGACTAGGAGATCCCGAAGTTTTATTTCAACGGAATTGTGTTCTTCGATGGAAAGAAATTTTTCACCCTCTGAGTTTTCAAGTGTCGTTGATGATAAAACCGCTGTTATTTCTGCCGTTTCTTTGATTACATCGTGTACATCTTTTACTCTTTGTACTAATTTTCCTGTAAAAACAATAAAATTGGTGATTATGATATCATAAAATATCAACAGCTATGATTAAAATAGAGGCATAAGGATGTTAAAAAGGGATGCAAGAAAGATCCTCATAAGTAGCTGTATTTTTGTTATGTAGTTTGTAAAATTTAATTTTCTTTCAGTTTTATACAGGTATCAAAGGTTTTAGAGATACTTATTTCGTAGCGTCAACCACCTTCCCCTCGCATTTTACCAGGCTTGGGACTGGCAGAAATATTACTGGCATGCTTAAAAAGTGGCCAACAAAACACACAGACCACTATTGCATTAAATACTCAAAATGTTGTCCGTTTCGTTCACTACATAATAGAAATCGTTTTTGTAAGGAGTTTTGATCATTTCTGAGCAATTCTGGTGTGATTTCTTGAAAAACTCTTACAACGCGTTGACGCATATCGTCAGGAGTAGTTGGTGATGTCTCATAAACTTTGCTTTTAATAAAACCCCATAAAAAGAAAATGCAAGTGGTAAGGTCGGGCGATCTCGGAGGCCATCTGACAGGTCCTCCTCGTCCTATCCAGCGGCCCGGAAAGGACACATCCAAATACCGACGTACTGGGCGATATTGTGCGGTGGAGCACCATCGTGTTGGAACCACATCCACTAACGAATAGCTAGTGGAATATTTTCCAACACAAATTATTTTCTAAAAATTGTAAATAAATCCTACCCGCCAAACGTTGATTATGAAAGAAAGATATGATATGCTTTCCAATGACACCTGCCCACACGTTCACTGACCATCCGTACTGACTATGCGTTGCAAGGAATGGATGGGGGTTTGTTGTATCATAATAATGACAATTGTGACGATTCACAAACCCATTTTTGTGAAAGGTCCGAAAAAATTCGTACCAAGATTAGTTTTCAATAGCCCACTGACAGAATAACAGCCTGCTTTCGAAATCGCCTTCAGTAATTTCCTGGTGCAACTGGATTCGATACGGATGATCATTATGTTTTCTTAAAATCCTGTGTACCGAACATTTACTGATGTTTTTCCTGCTACTTATTTCACGAACACTATATTCTGCGTTTTCTTACACAGCTAACAATACGTGCAACTGGTTTTCATCCGTAAGTACAGCGTGATTATGGTTGCGTTTAGTACGTTTTACGCATATATATATACTATCTCCTATATCGCTGACTAAGGCAGCAAAAGAGTGTAAAGACTAGAGTGCAGATATATATATATCTGTCTCTGTCATGCCCCCTTTTACTCAAGAGGCATGCGTGAGCACGTGATGAGTACGCTTTTATCTTATTGGACGGTGAATTAAAAATTAATAGCAGCTGATGACCTTGATGTTTATAAATCACCAAATAAATGTTTAACATAAACATAACCTAAAATCTAAATATTTAGTTATGTATATTATAGGTTTCATGTGTATAATAACATAACTATTAACATATTTTATGACTAAGCAATTTAAAATGTAATTATTATTTGTTAAGAAAGTGAAGAAAATTTGTTAAAAGTAAAATAAAAAACAAAAAGAGTAGTGGAGATATTTTTGGGGCCTAAAAATTGGTTGAACAGGTAGAAGGAAAGATCTCAGTGTAATAAAAAAGAATTCAAAGTCCTCCTTTTCTTGAAACATTTTTCTTAGAAATTTAATTAATAATTACATGGATGAAAATTTTATGATAGAATATTATGTACATTAAATAGTACGTACCTAAGTACATATTTTATATCTTTGATTAATGTAACAACTTCATTAAATAGCGTGAGCTCACAAATTATATTAACAATTAATAACTATATTTTGGTACACATTTTTAATAATTACTATGTATGTATTAATTTAATTTTAAAAAATATAATGTTTAATGAACAACCTACATAAAGTTGATATTTAATGCAATATTCAACTTCAATTTCACATAAAAGTACATATATTCTAATTTATTTGATGCATCAATGATAATTTATAGTTAAAGTAAACCATCTATAATAATTGCATTTTAAAGCTACATAAAATACGCGCGAAACACTTCAAACTCTTTAAAATTTACGATTCGCGCAAGTGCTTTCGCGACATGGGGGCATGACAAAGACAGACAAAATATCATTCCGTCTGCCTTTGATGGAAATGCTCTCCTCTCATTGCTTAAATAGGGAGTCAGCGATATAGGAGATAGTATATATATGGTTTTACGGATCCACTATTTGTAAATCTTTCCAGTAAGGACAGAAATGCCCTCCTGTTTGGATGCCTCCTATCTGGATATTGTTGTGCGTAAACTTTTGACGCTAATAAACCATTCTTGTTACAATCGCCGAGGATGAAAACCATATACTAATACTAATTTTTTACGCGTAAGTAACATTTTTAATTATTATGTTAACAAATAATACTTTGAAAATCAGTTCTCTGCGTGGAACACTAATGACCTAGTTTGTTTTCCAAGCTTACTTCAACTTTTAATAGTATTGCAAAGCGTCGACCACTTTCTATTTTACCAGTTCTAAGCCTACCTCGCAATACGTATCTACCATGAAAAACTGAAAAATTAAAACCATGATACCTGTATAAAACTGAAAGGAAATTAAAGGTATCATTAAGAAAGTACCATTGAAATTTCACAAAGAATCCAAAAATGCAATAATATACAGCGTGTTCCATTTAAAATAACAAGGTTGATATCCATTTCCGGTAGACGCGCAATATGATTCGATTCAACTTTTATCTGAAACTTTTTTGAAAAACTCAATCATAATTCGGCTATGGACCGAGGCAACTTAGGTGAGACATCCTGTATATATCATTCTGCATAATTCTGAAGCAAATTTTCAACAATTGTCTCATAATTCGGGTTTTATCCAGAAAATCAGAAACAATTAACTGAAACGAATTCCAGGCTGCAGCTTCAACGGATGACAAAGTCAAGTTTGAAATTTGTCATCTTTTAAAAGTTTTTTTATTTGTTAACCGTTGAAAACACCTTCCTTGATTTTTGCGAATGAACTGTGTTCTTAAACTGATAGTTTTCCAAGAATAGTAAAATGCGCTTGTAGAGGGTGTTTTTTTAAGCTAGATAGAACTTACGAAAGGGTTAACCGTCAAACGAACTGTGATACTGCGCTTACTTTTTGATATTTATGATCAGTATACTCCGGCAAATCATCATGAACAGATTGACGCTTGAACAACGCTACCAAATTGTCCAGATTTACTTTGAAAATCAGTCATCAATTCGCATAACTTATAGACGACTTCGTGATTTTTATGGCGCACATAATCGTCCATCTGGGCAAGCCTCCGTCGAACTGTAGATAGATTTCATACCACATACTCTCTAAATGATGCAATAAAATCAACACGTCGAAGAAATGTGCGTGCTGAAGAGAATATCGCCGCTGTAAACGAATGCGTGGAAGAAGATTCAAATTTATCGATTCGTCGTCAGTCGCAGGAATTAGGGCTCTCTCCGTCCACTACGTGAAAAATTTTGCCCAAAGATCTTGGCCTACACCCGTTTAAGATGCAGCTAGTGTAGGAATTAAAACACGAGACCATCATATGCGTCGTTCTTTCGCCGATTGGACTCTAGAGCAGTTGGAAACTGTTCCGATGTTTTATCGCAAAATTGTGTTCAGCGATGAGGCTCATTTTTGGCTTAACGGGCCGCATATGGAGTGAAACTAATCCAAAACAGACCCTACAGACTCCATTACATCCAGAAAAATGCACCGTTTGGTGTGGTTTGCACGCTAGTGGCATTTATTTCTTCAAAAATAAAGTCGGAGCTCGCGTTACGGTCAATGGAGATCGTTACCTCACCATGATCAATGATTTATTGTTTGAAAATATGGATGATATTGATCCGGGCGAGATGTGGTTTCAACAGGATGGCGCTACGTGCCATACAGCGACCGCAACCATCGACTTATTGAAATCAAAATTTGGCGATAAGTTGATTTCGAGAAATGGATTGGCCTCCAAGGTGGTGCAATTTGACACCTCTCGATTATTTCCTTGGTTTATGCTGATAAACCAGCAACAATTGACACCTTGGAGGCCAACCTTGTTCGTGTTATTCGTGACATATAAAAAGTGGCCCAAAATTGGACTTCCAGAATGCGCTTCGTCAAGAACAGCCGCGGTGCCCATATGTCTAAAATCATTTTTAAATGTTAAATGCCATGAATTGATCTTTCGATCAAAAACATTTTTTGGTTTAAGATTTAATTTTTTGTGTTACTTTTTTCAATTTAAAGTTTCAAATACTTCAAATATCCTTTTACAGGTAAACTTAATTCACTGAGGCAATACACGTTAGGAATACCGAAATATACAAACAGGAAAAACCTGTTGTAAAAGTACAAACTCTATGTAAAAAATAAAACGGAATTTTTGCAGCGCTTCAAGGCATTTGAGTGAATTTTGAATTGTGATTTTTGATAAAAAAAACTGTTTTCCATAAAAAATTGTAGCATTCCGTTTAAAATAACGAAATTGTAGGCTACTTCCGGTACACTGGATATGGCAGCCATCTTGAAATTATTTTAGATCGAAAGATTGGGATGAATAGCTTCTACACATAAAATCGGAATTTCATATACAGGAAAAAGCTGTGCTCTCACATATACAGTGTGTCCCCGGATAGGTGAAACGACTCTTATAAAAGGTAAAATTTTTTCGATATTAATTGTAATTTTTTGTGGTTTAGCCCTGCTTGATGAAAGACTAATTTTGAACATATTTTCAATTTTAAAAAAACGAGTGTGTCTTGACAGTGAAAGAAAATCTTTTTTTGTGGCAGGTAAAGTACCTTTTCTGTTTACAGTACGTGAAAGTGTTACTAAAAAGTTTTGTTCAGAATGAAAAACTATGGCCATATGCAAATTTTCAGAATGATCGGCCTACTTTGATAAAAATCCATATCAAACAATTTTATTTCTAACAAAGACTGCCATAGAAAAACAAAATTGCTTTCCTGTCAATATTAATCTGCCAAACTGTAAATTAGTGTCAAAAAGTGTTTTTTAAATACAATGTTAACATTAGAGGAAAAAGTTTACGTGATTCAATGTTATGAAACCGGGGAAAAACCGATAAATATTGCTTTATTTAGTGGAAAATTTCCAAATACTGGAATTAAAAGAAGTACTTGTTGGCGTTTAATCAAAAGATTTCTTACAGCAGGAAGTATTCACTCTAAAGAAAAATTATGATGAAAACACAATTAATTTTTTGTAAACATTTTAAGAACGGTTTGTTAATCTTATAAAGTAGGCCGATGATTCCGAAAATTTGCATATGGCCATAACTTTTTATTCTGAATAAAATCTCTTAGTAACATTTTACCATACTGTAAACAGAAAAGGTACTTTACCTGACACACAAGAAGTATTCGCTTCAGTGTCAACACTCACTTAAACTTTTAAAACTTGAAAATATGTTTAAAATTAGTCTTTAACTAAGCAGGGCTGAACCCCAAAAGATGACAATTAATATCGAAAAAAATTTACATTTTATAAGAGTCGTTTCACCTATCCAGGGACACACTGTAGATCATAATTTTGGGTAATTTCTCTATACATTCTCACACTGCGTACCTTATTGTCTTGGTAAAAGAGCAAAGTTTATGTAGAAGGTAAAAAAAAATTTTTCTGCGACTCTTCACAGATATTGAATGAATTTTTGGCTCACATTTTGTTTAAAAAAGTCGGTTTTTTACATATTATGGACCATTGTTTTAAAACTACCAAACCGATTGGAAAGAACAATTAATAACAGTTATTAGCTATACAAAACTCTTTAATTTGATGAATAGCACGACCAGATTGGTCATATCTAACTAGAGATATGCTGCAAATAGTCAACAAAAAAAATCATAGCTCCAAAACATATCCATAGAAAAAATTTTAAATGTGATTTTTGGGTTTAGGGAACCAAACTACATAAGAAAAATACAGTGGCGTCAAATATACATTTTATAAATTATTTTTGTAGACTCCTGTAATGAATTATTAAAATTGTTAAACTTACCTAAAGCATCACTAGCTAATGAAAGTACTTGTAACCAATGAGACGCTTCTAAATTAGGAGCTGTTTCACCAGATCCAGTTAAACAATGTTCCATTTCATCTTCAACATCAGCTAATTGTTCAATTAAAAGTTGTTTGATTAAAGTCTGTGCTGCAGTAACAGCTTCCTGTTTATAAGTTTCCAAAAACTGCAAATGATTCTGTCTCAATAATCCAGCAACTAAACTAATTAATCGTTCTCGATCTAAAACACCAGCAGCTGGATCAAAGGGTCTATGAAGATCAGCAGCTGCATATCTTTCAAATTCAGTGCTTAACATCTTATCGATTAATCTAGACATTTCTTTTAATTGAGATGGAAGATGCCTTAAACTGGTGACACCTGCAAGTTTATTTGCAAGAACTTCTTGTGTTGTGGAAATAAGTTCTAATGCTGCTACATAATCAGAAGAGCTTAAAAGAAGTTGTAAAGTTGGTTGGGTTTGAAGTACCGTGGACATGAGTTTTAATTTTGCTAATAATTTTGTTTGATTCGAGCGAGTTTTTGATAATGATAATAATTTGAGAGAATCTTTAGCTAAAGTTTTATCAACTTGTTGAATTTTTGTACGTAACGTTCTTACTTCTATACAAGCTGACCCCATTTTTTCCATTATAGTATCGTGTGATGTCATCGCATGGAAAAAAGCTCCGGATTTTTGTGAAACCTGCTTTGCTATATGAACTTCCACAATATCTAAGTAATAACTTAATTGTTCTTGTAATAATCTTCCACTTTGCTGATAATGCACTACTTTACTATTATTACTGTTGTTAACATGATCACTTTTTATTATATTAGGAAATATTTCATTAAACACTTTTGGTTCGTTCAACAGTAAGGTAGGTCTCAGAAAAATCTCCGGAACACTATCGATTGGAGCATCGATTGTAAAATCTGTCTTACTTTTCGTTTTCACATGATTCCCTTCAAATTTTGTGTTGGAGAGTTTCCTATGCCTTCGAAATCTTTTTCCAATCTTCTTTAAATACGTATCGAAATGAGCGTAAGTTATTTCGGGCAAAAAAGGACTCTTTTCTATGCCTACTTTCTCCACAAACGAATCGCCCCATGTTTTTACAAAAAAGTTGGATTGTTTACCCCTATTCGGGTCGTTTAAAACGGCCGGCAAGTTCTGCGAAGCGGAATAAAGCGACCATTGATCCTTCCCTGTGGCTTCTGACATCACCTCGTTATTTACTATCTACATTTAGGCCCCATTTCGCCAATATTACGGGCACGGTACATTTAAATCAGGTGACGCATTTGACGTTTCTTGATAGTTGTCATTGGTGCGTTGTCAAACCCACACGCAGAATATACAACATAAAAATAATTAAAACCCTATAAAAATATCCATCTAATATTTATATATTTGTAAATATAAAAGTTTTGATTCAAAATTTTATCGTAACTACTATTATTTAAAATAAAAATCTTATCCTATTTAAATATAAAATATTATTACTATATTTTTATGTTATGTACTTGACTAGTTATTTCCTGACATCTACGTTTAGGATTTTTAACATTGTAGTTCGGCGATTCACCAACAGATGGCGATAAAATTTAAAATTTGTTTGATATTTTCGTTTTTTCATCCCAACCGGTTCTCCCCACAATGCATCAAATATGCGATTTCACGATGATGGTTGGGTTTTAGTTAGTTATTCGTGACATCTAAAGTATTTCTTATTTTCTTAGGTTAAATTTTTCGTGCAAGTTACCTGTAGAGCTTAAATATTTCCTCGTCTCCGCTTTAAGGTATTCCCGACGATAAATCAGGCGAACGTGCCCTACAAAAGGTTGTAGGAGGTTAACACTACATCTTTCATAAGAGAGAAGACGCTGTCGAACCCCAAAATGTTCGTTGCTTTACATAGCTAAAGTAACAATCACGGTGGAGCGCGTACGTGTACTCAACTTAAAGTTAAAGTAGGTGCTTCCAAGTCAAAATTTCACTTTGACTTCAAACAAGAATCCTTCATCTCCTTCAACATCCCTACATGCCTAATCCATTATACTCCCGCACGGTCATGCCTTCGGAACGGCTTTTCTATTACGACGTAAATTCAACTCGAAATTCGGTCGTTGATCTATCTATATAGGGTACTATTCGTGTTAATTATTACTGTTGCACTCCAAATTGAACATAGAAAGGGTTCTAGCACGTCGAATGCTGTATCAAAATTAAATGCGCTCTTGTTAAATTCGGTGTTAATTAAGTTTGCAGTATACGAGGGTTCTTCAGTAGTGGTCTTCTCGGTATTAGTCATTGAAAATGAATAGAAAATTTAAATAAAAGTACAATGTAGAGTGATATACGTGGACGTAATCCACCAATTAAATTTGCATTTAATTAATTAGCCGAATTCAATCAATGATAGAACGCAACTTGGAACGAGCTCTTTCCGATTAAATTGAGAAATAAAATTTAGAATTAATCTTTATTCCAAAATAATAATATAATTTAAATAATAATAAAAATAATAAATAATAATAATAAAAACAAATTTCATTTTATGACAGCTACTATTATGTTTATAATATTATTTGGCGATAGGCCTCACTGAATTTTGATTCTATGTTGGGTTGAGTTGAGTAGAGTTGAGTTGGGTTGGGTTGGGTTGGGGCCCTATACAAATAAAACCCTTCACGGAAGAAGAACTCGTAGCCGCAGCAGGGAATCTAAGAAAAAAGAAAGCTCCAGGTCCAGATGCTATTCCAGCAGAGGTAGTTAGACTGCTGGTATCGAAACATACAAAGGAGTTCTTACAAGTTTACAACAGTTGCATGGCACAAGGAATATTCCCGGAAATATGGAAAAGTGCGAGGTTGGTTTTGATCGAAAAGCCGAGAAAAGCTGCACAAACCATAGCATACAGGCCACTATGTCTAATGGATGCGACAGGCAAGCTCTTGGAAAGCCTGTTAAGGCAACGACTATCAGTACAGGTAGATGAAAACAATCTTATGCACGAAAATCAATACGGATATAGAAAGGGGAGATCCACCATACACGCTATTGAGAGAGTGCAGAAAAGTATCGACCAGATAAAAGAGAAAGCTTTGAAAAATAGAATGCATTCTTTGGAAGAGGGAAATATTAGCAACTACTTAATCCGTATGGTAAAATCGTACCTATCAAATAGGAAAATTATCGCCCCAAACGATAAGACGTATGACGTAACAAGCGGGGTACCTCAGGGATCCTTATTGGGCCCGCTGTTGTGGAATTTGTTTTACGATAGAATCTTGAAGTTAAAATTGGAACAAGGCGCGGAGCTAATAGCGTACGCCGACGATCTGGCATTGGTGGTGAAAGGCAGGGATAGAGCGAGTTTAGAAGAGAAAACGACGCATGCCGTGGAGATGGTCTCAAGGGAGTTGAAGGAGATGGGCCTAAAGATTGCGAAACATAAAACCGAGTTAATCCTACTTCAGGGGAGGAGAAAAATAAAAGAGATAACACTAACCTTAAATGAACAACAGATAACTAGCTCGAACACAGTAAAATATCTGGGAGTGTATCTAGACAAAGATATGTCTATGACTAGGCATGTGGTGGAAGTCACAAACAAGGCAACATATATGTCCAACCTTTTGATGCGTATTATGCCCAATACAGGAGGCCCAAGATCGAACAAAAGGAGACTTTTGGCAACAGCGGTGAAATCGGCAGTACTATACGCCGCACAGACATGGCAGAGAGCCTTGAAACATACTAAATATAAAAACCTGCTAAAGAGAGTAAATAGAAGACTTGCCATAGGGGTCACATCGGCACATAGAACGGTGCCAGCAACCGGAGTAGAGGTGACAGCAAGCATGATGCCCCTGGACATAATGGCTGAGGAAAGGGCAAGGAACTTCGGTGTGGAGAGAAAAGAAAGAGTGAATAATAGGAAAAGGGCCTTACCAGAATGGAAGAGAAGATGGGAAGAGCATATGGGGTGGACGAGAGAGCTCATATCCGACGTAGAAGCATGGCTGCAGAGACAGTGGGGGGAGCCGGACTTCTACCTGACTCAGTTTCTAACGGGTCACGGTGTGTTTGGCAACTACCTGCACAAAATTAAGAAAGCAGAAAGTGACACCTGCTGGTTCTGTGAACAACCCGACAGTCCGGAACATACAATGTTCAAGTGTGAAGAATTTCATGAAGAAAGAGCCGAATGCGAAGACAGCTGCGGGGCAAAATTGAATAAAACAAACGTTGTGCAAATTATGCTACAGAGCGAGAATAATTGGGAGGCCGTAGCAATGATGGTAACCGCAATCCTAAAGAAAAAGGAAAAGATAGAGCGGGAGAGAGAAAGGGAAAGAGCTGGAGAGGAGCGAGAGCAGGTTCGGTGAAGAGGGGGGAGATTCCCCCTCGACCGGGTATGTATAGCAAATAATAAATTTCAAAAAAGTAACAAGGATCATTTGTTTTGTACGAGAATGCCAGAGAAAGGAGGGTAGATGGATCACCGCAAAGGAAATCCTGTGATAACATCGGCAGAAGGGACGGAAAGCTTCTCTGAGAAGATGGGCAGAAGAGGGGGAACCTCCCCCTCGCGCCGGTAAGTGATATTTTAATATGATTTCAAAAAGTAAGCGAATTATTTTATTTTCTCGCCTTCTGAGGAGCGGGGAGAGAAGGAGAAGGAAGAGAAGTAGTGAGTGAGGGGAGAGAGATGAAGAAGAAAAGAAGAGTAGAAAGAACAAAAAAAAAGAACGTTATATATCTCCGAAGAAGCGGTTCCGGAGAGGGAAAAGAGGGGGAGTTTTTAGTGGGTAGACGGGGGCTATCATTTCGTTAGTCCCACACTCCCGGCCGAAGCAACTGTTTTCCAATCCACCACCATCAGGCGCCAACAGTAGGCCGGGGTGCGTAACGCATTTTCTGCTCCTCTGCGCCAAAAAAAAAAAAAAAAGGGTTGGGTTGGGTTGGATCCACCTAACTCTGCTGGTATGGGAGAGGGCAAAAAAGTGGGAGACGAGGGGAGCCAGAGAGATGAAAGCCATACCGAAATGCTTAAGAGATGGCAAGTAAGACGCTGAGACATACCATCTTTGAATGTAAGAAATTCCAACACGATAGAAGAATTCATAGGGGAAGAAATCTACGAAGAAAGTATCTTCGGTTTGATAGTACTGGGAAGGGAAGAAGGAGAAATAGTCATGAACCTGGTACGATTCATAATGAAGAAAAAACAGATAAGAAAATAAAAGAGGGTAGTAATGGGGCTCGATATAGTTGCACACTCCCGGCCAAAGAAACTAGGATCTTTTTAGCCGCCAAATCTGACGGCATTGATAGCACAGTATCAGTGCTTATAATGTCTTCCGCAGCCCATTGGTAGGACATGTCGGAACAGTTTTGAGCATATTGCTTAAATCTGTAAATGGTTGTTCTAGCCACTTTCTCTATATGCAAATGCAGAGGAGATAGGCCAAGCAGAACCTCCATTGCTAGAGTTGGCGTTGTGCCTATCGCACCAGAGATATAAATTGTATTAGTGGATATTTTAACATATAAAGGATCATATTGACGTTGAATCTTATAAAAAAGGTTGTTAATTATTTTAGTAGGAAAATTATTATTTAAAGCTAAAGAATATATTATTATATAGTTGATTTCTTTTATTCTGTCGTTGTCTGTTAAAGGATAATTAAAAATACGATTAATTAAAAATCTAAAATTTGAAAGTTTTTGAGACATGGGATGTGTTGAATCAAACGGGATAGTTGTAGGAATAACCGTAGGTTTTCTGTAAATGTTATATTCCAATATATCAAATGAACGAGTTAAAGCTAAGTCTAGGAAATTTAAAGAATTGTTATTTTCAAATTCTGTTGTGAAGTTCAGTTTAGGATGTATATTATTCAAAAAAGTCAAGAAATCATCAGTTTTATCACCAAGCTTTTACATGCTCCCCCTGTTCTTTTGATGATCTTCGTTCTACAATTTTAGTTTGCCACTAACAGTAAGTAGTTTTATAGATTTTTTAACATGTTTTAATTTGTTAAAATATTTTTTGTTTTTTTGCTAATGTTTGTCATATACATTTTTATAATTATAATTTATGTTTTCTCCGTTTATATTTAGTTGTCACTGATGATGGGGCTAGCCCCGAAACCGGTCTGACTGCATATTAAATTAAATAAAGCAAGTTTAGAAGTTTTTTCGTTATATTCTTTATATAAACCACTTGCAACATGGATCTATATTCTAATATAGAATTATAGGTAGACAACAAAATCGGCTTGGTGCTTTTAGACTTTTAAAATTTTTCTTAAGTCTGCTACAAGTAACAATCATATTTATAAATCTATCTAGGATTTGTGTGTGAATTTAAACTTTTATATGACGTTAAGTTAAAATTCCATTTTCATCTTCAATGATGTTTAGAATAAGTGAATAGATTAATGTTCATTTAGGCGTTAATTATTAGACTGAGATTTCTTGGAATTAATCGCGAGAACTTACCTGCAAACTTACCTAATATTATTGGGATTCTGTGGGATGTATATTGCATGAGATTGTTTGGAATATTTAAGTATGAAATTTGGGTTAAAATGGTTTCAACATAAAAATAATCAACGTACACATTAAAACAGTTTTTATTTAATTTTAGAGTTTTCAAAATTTATTTTCTCAACATTTAACATGCATACAGAAACGACAATTTTTATTTAATTAATTTAAAATTTTTATCTTCGCTCGGGGTTTTTCTCGTTTCCTTTCATTTTAATTGAACAAGAAAATAACTTTTTCAATCTTCCCAAAGCTCAGTATCCCATATAAATTTTAATCTTTTAAACCACCCGTTTGTAAAATTTGAAAGTTCTTTTTATAACAGATTATAGTCCTCGTCGTTGAGCCTGTAATATGTCGTATTCGAATCACACGTGAGTTACCGTAGTTAACACTTTTTCGTTGGGTTTTCTGTTTTCACCTTGCGGTCGCCAACTGTGCAATAACTTTTGAAACGCCGCCCTGAATTGCGACGACATTGAACAGTACAGGATAAAATTGATTGCTGAATTAGTTAAAGCAAAAATATCCAACAGGTCACCTAGAAACAAACAAATAATAGATATTAATATTTATGGAATTAAACGAAGTACGAATCACTCAAACTGGACAGATAAATCCCTGTATTAATTATTCTTGTTGGATTTATTTTTTAATGGGATTCCACGAATACAATTTTTTTTAATCTCAATTTAATTAAACAGCGATAAATAAAGGCTTAGTAAAACAGTTAAAACTAGCTTTTCAATAAAAAATCAATAATACAGCCTCAATAAGTGAGGGTGGCAAATCACGGTTGATTGAATAAGGTAAAATTATACGACAACTGAAATAAAATGAGCACGTTATTCACCAACGTTTCGTTTCGAAATGGACCCTAAAGAAATAAGTTTAGGAGAACCTTTTGCCATAAGGTTTGCCCCTAAAGTTTTAGTAATTAATTCTTGTTGTTGTAGTTTCTTCTTTCTCGATGAATTAAAATTGTTTGTTTTAAAGGAAAGTGTGTTACAAAAAAATCGATGTATAAATATAACGCTTTATTTGTGCTTCTAATTTTAACCTTTGTTGATATAATTTATAAAGGATTTAGAAGATTCGACAATAAAAGTAAACGTATTTTGCAAGCAAATTGTGTATTATCTTATAGTCATGACTGTCGAAAAGATGGACGGGATATCAAAATAATATAGACATGGGAGATTGCTTCTTAAATATGTTAAGTTGTACGGCTGCGAGGTTTGGAGCGGAAAAGGAAGTTTAAAGATAAAGATGTTAAAAAAATCATCCTGTTTAGGTAATATATTAAATAATAATACACTAACGATCTTATTCGACAAAATTGATGTTACATTAAAGTATGTAGTAAAAATTCTTATAATTTATTTATTATCGTTTTCATTTCTAAAAATACATTTTCCAGAGAAAAGAATAATTCTCAACAGAGAGAAATACTTTGAAAGCAATTACAAACGATGTTTGTGTTGCTAATTGTGAAATAATTAAAAAAAATGTGTGGAAATATTCTATGACGCAGTTTTTTTACGTACCGACAAACTTTTTTTATAATAAACATGTACTCGTATTAAATTTTCCCGGTTCGATGTTGGAGAATAGCTTCCCACTCTATTTTAACCCGCTGAATAGTTTTGCAGAGTACTCCTATTCAAGCCACGTTTACACCATCGCCATCGATATGCTTTATAAAACATTGAAAAGCAGTTACGCAAGATTAAACTTTGAGCGAATACACAACAGACTTAAAAACATCTACTCAATATTCATTAAAAAAGGGTGAAATAAAGTGATTTTATTACAAAATATTTTTAAAAGATCGTTATTTGAGTCGTAACTTTAATATATAGTCACCATAAAAAATTCCTTCTTCACGAAATGTAGCGTAAGGAAATAATATACGCACATTCGATGTTACTCAAATTCACCCTATCCCATCTAATGGATTGGAAGTGATACGGATATCGAGGATTCCATCAACAGGAATGAATTATTATAAAACTCGACACGGGAAATGAGATGAGCTATCAATTACAATTGCAAAAAGTAAAACGAATCAAATTATCACATTGAAGATAATCTAAATTCAGCCCCAAATTCCACCGATTCAACGTTAATTGTTAAGAGGTAACTGTTGTAATTGTCTTCGAAAACTAAGTAAATTACATTAATTACCGTGAAATTACCAAATCTGACTCAAACGTTCTTGTAGTAAGCACAAAACTTAGGTTAAACTCGTTAAAATTCGTGTTCTGTTAACCACTTTTAACATCAGCAAACTTTAAATTACAATTTATTTACTAACAAGGGAAGTATCAGAACTGTCCCTCACCGATTTTGTTGAAATTTGGTACAGCGATAGTATGGCCAAAAATAAGGTTTACGTATTTTTTTATACGTGTTAATAAAGCCCCTGGGGTGAGTTATAAGAGTTGGAAATCGGGGCGAAATATATATATTCGCTTATAGGCTGAAAACGAAAATAGCTATCGAAATGTGGTAAATGTAAACTGATATTCATTTTCAAAGAGCTTTCCATTGATATATCACACATATATCTGAGGGCTTCAGGGGGTAAACTACCCCTAGTTTTTTGGAATATTTTAAAAACTACCCTATCGATTTTGACGATATTATGTATCCTTATAGTACGTTTAAAAATATTAATGACGTGTTTTTTCTTATTTGCCTCTGACCATCCCCTGCAAAGTTACGGGGTACAATAGATAACCCCTTTCCTTAAGAATAATGTGATAAACTGTTACACTTTTGAACAATATTTTGAAAAAACCATTAATTAGATGTAAATTAAGATTTACACAGTAAAATAAATCCTATACGACATTAAGGGGTGGCTGGGGTTAACTACCCTAATCACCACAAAAATATTTTTTCTTTGCGAAAATTGCTTGTCGATTTTGGTGCAATTTACCACGATGATTTTTTATACATTAGGTAGTACTATTGTAAGAACCTACAAGGGTTAGAAATTTGGGGTAGAAAATATATTTTCGCTAATTACTTTCATACTGCTACAGAAAAAGCTTTTTTTATCCTTATTCTATTTAAATAACACAAAAGTTAGGATAATTATATAAATATTTATTAATAATGTGTTCAAAAGCAACTGAAAAAGAATGGTTAAGTATGACAAATTGTATTCTACATTGTTAATTTAGTTTTTTTTTAATTTATTTTTATTTAAAAGGGATTTTGGGGATTAAAACCGTGGAAAGCGTGGTCCAGTCGGTGTCATCGACAACACATAGCTACACAATTCAACCCATCATATCTGCAAATGAACTGCTACTTTCTCCTCTTTTCATTGTTTTAAAAGAATTTTCTGGTACGTTTCGACCGAGGGTAATAAATACTATGTTCAAAGCAGATAACATATTCGTTTTGGCATCAAAGTCTGGTAAACTGACTTCTGCTCATATGAAAAATTGGCTACAAAATATCTATTTCCCAAACACTGAACCCAAATCATTATTATTACTGGATTCTTGGAGTGGCCACTGCCCTGATATTATTAGTGAAGTAACTCCATCGGATGTTAAGTTTAAACATTTGTCTATACCTGCAGGGACAACAGGTCAAATTCAACCCCTGAATGTATTTGGTTTTAAAATATGGAAAAATTTCATTAGAAGATTTTCTGATCAAGTTATTCTCTATCAGTACGATGTCAATTTGCATCAGCGAGATAATATTTTAAAATTGCAATCTTTAACGCATAACCAGTTGTCTTCCCCACGATTTATTAATGTTTTTAAATACGCCTGGTTTGCATCTGGATATATAGAGGAGAGACCAGAACAGTTTGAAAATCCCGTGAAGGTTTGCTTTTCCAATGAAAAACCTACGTGCGATATCTGTGGANAATCTGAAAATATTTTAGACGAAGAGATCGTAATTGATAATACTTAAGTCTGAATTCTCAAATTTTTATTTTCGCCAGAACCCCAGAAACGTCTAATGACCGGTCTCGCTGAGACACCCTGTATATATTCGCTTATAGGCTGAAAACGAAAATAGCTATCGAAATGTGGTAAATGTAAACTGATATTCATTTTCAAAGAGCTTTCCATTGATATATCACACATATATCTGAGGGCTTCAGGGGGTAAACTACCCCTAGTTTTTTGGAATATTTTAAAAACTACCCTATCGATTTTGACAATATTATGTATCCTTATAATACGTTTAAAAATATTAATGACGTGTTTTTTCTTATTTGCCTCTGACCATCCCCTGCAAAGTTACGGGGTACAATAGATAACCCCTTTCCTTAAGAATAATGTGATAAACTGTAACACTTTTGAACAATATTTTGAAGAAAACCATTAATTAGATGTAAATTAAGATTTACACAGTAAAATAAATCCTATACGATATTAAGGGATGGCTGGGGTTAACTACCCTAATCACCACAAAAATAATTTTTTTTTGCGAAAATCCCTTAATATCGTATAGGATTTATTTTACTGTGTAAATCTTAATTTACAACTAATTTTTGGTTTTCTTCAAAATATTGTTCAAAAGTGTTACAGTTTATCACATTAGTCTTAAGGAAAGGGGTTATCTATAATACCCCGTAATTTTGCAGGGGATGGTTAGAGGCAAATAAGAAAAAACACGTCATTAATATTTTTAAACGTACTATAAGGACACATAATATCGTCAAAATCGACAGGGTAGTTTTTAAAATATTCCAAAAAACTAGGGGTAGTTTACCCCCTGAAGCCCTCAGATATATGTGTGATATATCAATGGAAAGCTCTTTGAAAATGAATATCAGTTTACATTTACCACATTTCGATAGCTATTTTCGTTTTCAGCCTATAAGCGAATATATATATTTCGCTCCGATTTCCAACCCTTATAACTCGCCCCAGGGGCTTTATTAGCACGTATAAAAAAATACGTAAACCTTATTTTTGGCCATACTATCGCTGTACCAAATTTCAACAAAATCGGTGAGGGACAGTTCTGATACTTC